GGGCTACACCAACCACACGTTCGTCTACGACGATGGCAGCTCCCGCAGGTAGCGGCGCGGCGCGGGAGGGACCCCCGGGCGCTGCGGGCCGGGCAGGGCGGCGGTGCCCCCAGCCCCGGGCTGCGGCTCCCCGCGGAGGAGCCGCCGGGCCGGGGTCGCAGCGGCGGGGGCCTCCACAGCGCTTCCCGGCCCCGCGAGGGGCACCGCGCGGTGCGTGGCGGGCCCGACGGCCCAGGGGCTGCCGCCCCCGGGTGATGGGCGAGTGCCCCGAGCCCCCCGCGCTCGCGGCCGGGGCAGTGCCCTGCAGCCCTCGGTGTGCGTTGGAGGGGCTGTTCCCGCGGAGCCCCGAAGCCAGAAAAGCCACGAGGGGGAAGGTGGCCCTTTCCCTGCTCCTGCTCGGAGCAGCTTTTATGCCAAAGTTAAGATGCCCAGTGCAGCAGAGGGACTGGGGTTCGGGAGTGGGACACTGCTGGGCCACCCGGAGCTGATGCCACTCGCTGCCCCAGTCCTTGCCTTGGGTCGCCTGGGAGGAGACGTGCTTTCACTGAAGAAGCCCCACCTTCTACCAAGAGCTCCGTTATGTTGTCATTGATCTGATTGCATTTTCTGGTTGTGGCTCTGCTGGCTGCCACACTCATCAAACATCAGTTTAACTGGGCAAATGAAGTGTGTGCATCAATTTGGTCTTGGCAGATAGGGAGGTTGAGTCCATGCCCTGGGCTGGTCGGTGCTTGTATTCCTGCTGAGAGGTTTTTGTTTTGTTTGTTCTGTTGTTTTCCATCTGCTTGCAATGATTTGAGACACCTTTTATTCCCAAAAGACTCATAGAAAAAGAAGGATCAGCCTAGTCAACAAGATCTTCAAGTTTTGGAATATTGTTACTGATGGGGAAGTTAATAAAACACTTGAATATCAGGTCTTGTGCTCAAATTCTTCATTATTCCCTCCCTGCCTCTTCCCTGCTGGAGACGGGGTCCACGGAGGCTGCAGGAGTCAGGGCTGCCTGACTCCCACAACCTCCGTTGCCTCCTCAAAGTCTTCAGTACATCAGCCTCCTGCGTGTACACGAATCCATTCTCCCAGGCTGGTTCCTCCCCTTGCCCCTCTGCTTTGTGTGTTTGCAGAAATTAAGCTCTTGGCTCAATTATTGGCCATGTCTTGGTGGGAATGATAAGACTGGAGACAGCAGCTTGCGGAGGGTTCAGAGGCGGATGTTACAGGAGAGCTGGGAGCGGCTCAGCTCAGACCCTGGAGTTATTGCTCCTTGGTATTTATGCTGCAATGCTGCTCAGTGCCATTTATCCTCATCCAGCGCAGAACAACAACAAAATCCTTGTCCAAAGGTCTCCCCCTCTGTCTTTTTTCAAGCAGAAAAAACAGAGCTTTGGTTTCTGTTGTGCAGCTCCACATGTTGCTGAGTCCCTCTGACTTGGAAGGGCTTGACTTGTGGCCGCTTTCTTCCACTCACAGCCCTTCTGTGGCTGTTTTGGAGTAGTGGGACCA